CTTAGATTCTTGGGTAGTTCCTTAAGTTCTATAGTGGTTTTCTCAGCACGTGGCATAAGGTCATGGGTAAGAGCTAAGCATTCGAAAAGGTTGTCGTCAATGTACGGTTCGATACTCTCAAATCCGTCATCCTCTAAAATAGGGGTTGATGGTAATTTGGTTAATAATTCGTTTTGTTCGAGCTCATTTACACATTCATCAATGATGTCGATGGCATAACACGCATCTCCTATCACTGGTGCCATTAGAAATTTTGATAAAATGAACTCAATCTTTTCATCTCCTACCTCGAAAGTCAGTTTCCCTTTCTTAACATCTATTATAGCTCCGGCGGTCGATAGGAAGGGTCTTCCTAAGAGGATTGGGATGTCTTCATCTTCTTTGATATCCATTACGACGAAGTCGGTCGGAATGTACAACTGACCAATCTTGACAGGTATGTCTTCTAAAATACCCATGGGATATTTGACAGATCTATCAGCTAGTTGTAAGGACATCTTAGTAGGTTGAAGTTCTCCTAATTTTAACCTCTTACAGACGGCCAGAGGCATCAGACTTACACTTGCTCCTAGGTCTAAAAATGCTTTGTCTATCATATGGTTACCTAGGATGCAAGGGATAGAAAAACTTCCAGGGTCTTTATCTTTCTTGGCGAGTTTATTTTCGGATATAAAATGACATTCTAAAGGCTTGGGATCATCGAGTCGTCGTTTATTGGTCAAAATATCTTTCAGAAACTTAGCATATGATGGTATCTGGGTTATAGCTTCAGTAAAAGGAATCTCAACATGGAGTTTCTCTATTACCTTAATAAACTTTTGGTACTGGTTTTCTACTTTGGTGTTTTTCAGCCTCTGTGGGAATGGAATAGGTGGTTTATAAGGTTGTTGAGTGTTTTTCTCTACTTCTGGTTTTGATTGCTTTCCTGGTTTCTCTGGTTCCTCCACCTGGTCTTTGGGCGTAGCATCTTCTGATGTGCTTAAGTCAGGATTTCTAGGTCCTTCATAAGCGGTTCCACTTCTTAGTGTGATAGAATTTGCTTGGCCTTTTGGATTTGGTTGAGTTTGTCCAGGGAATTGTCCTCCAGGTGCAACTTGTACAGAGGTGTTTTGTGCTACTTGGGAAATCTGAGTCTCAAGCATTTTGGTGTGGGTTATTATCTGGTCAAACTTGGTTGCTAGTTGAGTAACCAGTTCGTTCGTGTGAATATGTTGGTTCATAAACTCCTTATTTTGCTGGGTTTGAGCTTGAATAAAGGTGTCTATGGTTTCTTTAAGGTTTGGTCTTGGGGGTACTATTTGCATAGGTTGGTTTTGTTTTTGCGTTTGGAATCCTTGAGGTCTCGAAGGTCCGGGATTTTGGATAGGGTTGTTGTTTTTGTAAGAGAAATTCGGGTGGTTCCTCCATCCAGGATTGTAGGTATTCGAGAAAGGGTTCCCTTGAGTATAGTTAACTTGGTCTGAGCTTGATTCGTTCAAAAGGTTACAGTCAACGGTTTGATGTCCTTGAGCTCCACAGAGTTTGCACTCCGATTGGATTGCTGCTACTGTGGTTAGGTTTTGAGACATGTTCTCGACTCTCAAGGCTAGGGCGTCCATCTTGGCATTGATCATGTCCATGCAACTTACCTCATGCTTTCCTCCATGGCTCTCCTTTTTCTCTACTGTCGCTCGTTCTAATCCCCATTGGGCATGGTTTTGGGCCATGTCCTCTATTAGGGCACAAGCGTCAGGGTAAGGTTTGTTCATCAACGCTCCGCCAGCGGCAGCGTCTATGGACATCTTTGTGTTGTAATGGAGTCCATTATAGAAGGTATGTATGATTAACCATTGCTCTAGGCCATGGTGCGGACAGGCTCTTAAAAGTTCTTTATATCTCTCCCAGGCATCAAAAAGTGATTCGCCTTGGTTTTGGGTGAAACAAGTGATCAGGTTCCTAAGAACAGCGGTCTTGCTTGGTGGAAAATACCTCGCAAGAAAAGCTCTCCTAAGGTCTTCCCAAGTTGTTATTGAGTTAGTTGGAAGGGCGTCTAACCAGTCGTGAGCTTTACCTCTAAGGGAAAAAGGAAATAGTCTTAATCGGATAGCTTCGGGCGTGGCTCCATTTGCCTTAAGGGTGTCAGCTAACTGGATAAATACCTTTAAATGTTGATTCGGGTTCTCGGTAGCGAGACCAGCGAATTGGTTTTGTTGTACTAATTGTAGTAACGAGGGCTTTAGTTCAAAGTTGTTGGTAGTTATAGCAGGGTTTACTATACTAGAACTAGGTTCCTCGTTAGATGGTTGGGCGAATTCCTTGAGCGGTCTTTGGTTACGATCTTCTGCCATAGCTCTTCTTATCTTGCGAATAAAAAGACGGGCACGAGCGTAACGTTCAGGTTCTACTAAAGGATCTATTAGGTTGCCGGTGCTACGATTTCTACGCATCTACCGGCTAGAATAGCCTTAGTCTAAACGGGATAACAATAGGGTACGAAATTTGACGAAGTTGGTCCCCGACAACGGCGCCAAAAACTTGATGGGCTGTTTAATCTGTAACGTATAGCCTAAATGTAGTACTGCAAGTGTACAGCCTATCGAAGTAATATATAAGATTATCGAACCACAGAGACCAATTGTCAATCTATCAACTCTATTGCTAAGGTGCTTATCTAAGGCGAATAAGGATATTGATGTGAGTGCAGTGCACAAAGTAAATATGCGAGGGAAATAACAGTTTAAAAGACAGGTTGGAATGTAAATCATGTAATCAGATATTGGTCCGGTCATGCGTAGATGAACCTACTTATGGGGCAGTATTTTCTATTGATAGCAAAGAATCAGTTTAACGGGAACCTGTAGCTTTTGACTACTAAGAACCGAGTTTACTCTTTAAATTAAATTCCTTTATTGTCACATATAAAGGGTGCCTTCCGCGTTAAAGAGATAAACCTATTTTTAAGAAATTGATAGTTTTGACTTAACAGAAAAGTGATCTTACTCGAAAAGATTAACTTAAAGAGACTTTTGGCTTTTGGCCAAGAGTCAGATTTTAAACCTACAAACGCGTCCGAAAATAGTTTCAAAATCGTTTTCTAAAAAGGTCAATGATTCCTATTTAACCAATCAACGGCTGTCGCTCTTTTTGTTTGGTTAAATAATAATCAAGTCGTATCATTAGTTTGGACGGCTTTCGATCTTACCCAATAAACATTTAAACACAATTGACTTAAGTTAGAAGCAAAACATCCCCAGAGTATTTTCACTAGCATGATAATTGGAACACAACCACGATGACAATCATTACATCCTAACCTTTATAGTTTAGCCAGACATAATAAGTGCGAGTCTATAAAACGTGTAGACTATGGTAAGAGCATTTAAAGTCTATAAAACGTGTAGACTATGATAAGAGCATTTAAAGTCTATAAAACGTGTAGACTATGGTAAGAGCATTTAAAGTCTATAAAACGTGTAGACTATGGTAAGAGCATTTAAAGTCTATAAAACGTGTAGACTATGATAAGAGCAATTAAATAAAGAAATGCAATAAATTAGAACCTTGCTCCGGTCGGAGACTTGAATCTGATACAAATCTACGGAAAAGTAAGGCCGGTATGATGAACTTCAACCAAAGTGCTCCAAGACTCGATTACAACTCAATCTACACCGCAATAACTCCCCGATGTGAAGAGATTATTACTTTACAGAAACTGATAGTATATGGCTTAAGATTGTACTAAGCTTGGATGAAACTAAAGAATGAGAATCGAAAGCTATTTATAGAGGAACTTTGAGGTGCGTAAGGACCAGCATGCCCCTTAACTTCTTTTGAGCGGGAGCCTTTTTGTGAAGGCCGCGGGCGCGGTGAGGGTGGCCGCGGGCGCGGCGCCTGGAACCGCCACATCATGGGAACGTGGCAGTTGATCTCTGGGTGAAAGTGGGCCACGTCATCGCGTTTCCTGTAGCCAGCGCGGTGCTGAACGCCATAAGTGCAAAATATCTTGAAAAACCCTAATTTCTTGGCGTTTTGGCTCGTTTCTTCACAGAAGGCTCTGAAATGACAAGAATCCTGAAAACAAAGGAAAAAGGAACATAATACGAGAAAATGACAATAAAAACTAAGGAAAACATGTGATATTTGAGTCAGAAACATAGTGCGATTTAGTGCGATCAACTTCATAGAGAGGATTATAATTTGATTATTCACCACCGTAATTGGGAGGGAGTTAGAATAATTTGATATTATAACTGACCCCAAAGCAAATTAATCGGTTCAGTGAGACGAATATTAGAGTGAAATAAAAACAATTTTTAAAAATAACTTTATCAAATAAACCTTTTTATGTTTCTTTCATTTTTGAAAATATTTGAAAAAATTCTATTACCAAACAAGAATTTGTATTATTCTATTTTTGAAACAATTTTATAAAACATATTTAAAAAATAAAAAAACAAATAGATTCAAACAAGTCCTGAATATGCTGTATTAATAAGTTTCATTTCAAGAATGTTTTCTTTGATAGAAGGTAAAATTTTCATGTTGAAAAAATAATTTTAAATTAAAAAAATTGTTCAGAATGAATGAAATAAAAATATCAAATCTTATGAAAGTCAACATCATATCTCAAAAGATTTAAATGTTATTTTAATAATAAGGTCCGTTTGAATGTTCCAGTCAAAATGTTTTTGGTTTTGAGTGAAGTTTAAGAAACAATGTTATATAACTAGACGTAGCAATTTGATCATAACTTGTCTGGGTGGTGTAGTCGGTTATCACGCTAGTCTCACACACTAGAGGTCCCCGGTTCGAACCCGGGCTCAGACAGATTTTAGTCCTTTTTTTTTTTTTATGTTTTGTACTGTTTAGGTTTATTGAGTTAAACCCGAAGGATTTGTAGTAACCCTAATGGAAAGTGTTGATACTATAGTATATGCTAGGTTTTCAATTTCAAAGATTTGTAGTAACCCTAATGGAAAGTGAAGAAAGTTTCTCATGATGTAATCTGTTTTCAGGCGAAGATGTCTGGATGCAATCAACATTCCGGCAAGTATTGGTCGATTCAAGATGGAGTGATATCCTCTAACGCTCAAATTTCTCGTTTAGATTCTCCGCCGTCTCTTTCCAATACGGAGATTAACAAATCCGGTAGAAATTCACTGACAACACCTCAGCTTATTTCTGCAATTCGCCACTTATGGGGTTCTGCTTTTCGGCCGAAGGAAAATGTGTATCGAGATGATGATGACAAAGGATTCTCGAAGAGAAATGGTTTGCTTATTTCTAATACAACTGATTATTATTGTGTTAATCCAGGTGCTACTACTTGCTTCGGTTCGCTTATTCTGCAGGAGAAATTGGATTTCCCTAAGGTAACACACAAGATCTTGATACTTAAATCTTCTTATGGAAATCGAGACTATGTTCGTTCTTTATTCCAGAGAGTTTTGCAAACACATGATAAAAATTCGAATGAATATTGTGTTACTGAACCGGAGAACCTGGAAACTAATTCTTTGGTTGCCAGGGACTGTGTTACTATTGACACGGGTACCGCTTCATTGGCTAATCAAAACTATGTATGCAATCCTGATGTACTAATACCTGAAGCTTCGTCATTATCTAATGATGCAGTTAACTCACTGTGTTCAGACTATTTTCTTCAAACTGTGCCGGATAATCAGATGGAAGTTGGTGTTTGTCAGACCCTATCTTCTAGTATCTATGCAGATTATCGTATTAACAGCTCTTTAGCTACCTCTAACACTGCTTCTGTGCAATGCCGGTATAAGATTGATGATAATCAATTAAAGGGAATACGAACAAGACATTTATCAGATGTAAGTGATAATGAACGTAAGGTTCAGATCTTCTCTGCGAATCATAAGCAGGCTTCCCATTCCTTAGCCAAGCAAGAACATGCTTTTTCTGGGGCCATGGCTGGAATATGTGTCAGCTGTTGTCTGCATCCTGTTGACACAATCAAGACAGTCCTTCAATCATGCCGTGCAGAACAGAGGTCCATCTTTTACATTGCCAAATCAATTGTTTCTGATAGAGGTTAGGATTTTTAGAGAAATCACATTCTTGCTAGATTACTTTTCCTTTTGTATTCAATCTTCAACTAGATAGCTTCCACGTCCAATTTATGGATTGGTTTCAGGTTTTCCTGGACTATATCGGGGAATTACTACAAATATTGCATGTTCAGCTCCAATTTCTGCGGTTTATACTTTCACTTATGAATCAGTTAAAGCAGCTTTGCTTCCTTATCTGCCAAAGGTAGTTTGTCTCGAATCATCTATTTGAAAGAAACTACAAGTTAAATATCACTGTCAACATGCTACCATTAGATTTGAATATCTAGAATTAGTCTGGATCTTACCATAACTTATATGCCTATTAGCGTAATGAGATTTCAACCATCTTTTCGTGCAGGAGTATTATTCTTCTGCCCATTGTGTGGGAGGTGGTTGTGCAAGCATTGCTACATCTTTCATCTTTACTCCTAGTGAGCGAATAAAGCAGCAGATGCAAATTGGGTCTCATTATCGCAACTGCTGGTATGTGTGGCTTTTTGAATCATCTATACCTGTCATGGCATAAAACTGCTTGTTTTAAGCATGTCCCGGATTTATGTCTGTCATGAACTGTATTTCTTTATTGTAATTTGTGTTCACTCTTAGTGAAGTTCTTGTAAATCTTTTATATATAAATTTGGTAGTCTTGTTTTACCATGCAAGACCGGTATAGTTGTATTAATTTTACTTTGCCATGCATCTTAATGTATATACCGCTATGCAGGGATGCATTGATTGGAATTATCAAAAATGGTGGTCTTTCCTCGCTATATGCGGGTTGGAAAGCTGTATTGTGCCGAAATATCCCACATTCAATGATCAAGGTTAGTAGCTGTTTTCAATATTCAATGCATGTTCCTATTGAAGTAACTTTACACCAGTCGGATTTCTGTCACAAAAGTACGAGGGGGAGGCTGGCATGAACGAGGAATTGGTAGTATATGCCTAAAAATCCCTCATGCCAGAGATTTACTAATTTCCATATTGGTCACCAACTTTGACCTTGAGAATTTTCATGTCTAAATACGAGTGTAGAAGCCTCTTGTGATTGTTATTGTTTTCATCCCAATCCCACTCTGTTCATATTACTCCATATATTCTTTTGTGATTGCTTTCCCAAGTTATTCAGAAACCAAGGTTTTGTTTGTGACTATTGAATTAGGAGAGACTAAGAGACATTTAAGTTAAACCGTGTGTTTTGAAAGCACTACGAAGATTTTATTATATATAGAGAGATTACAACTAATTACACGATATAATCGATGTGAGACTATTCTACATACAAATATTCTTAATACTATATATTTAAAATACCAACACTCCCCCTCAAGCTGGAGCATATAAGTCAAATGCACCAAGCTTGCCACATATATAATTAGTTCTGAGACTTCGCAGAGATTTTATGAACACATCTGCCAATTGATCATTAGAGTTGACAAAGCTTGTGACGATGTCGCTGGATTCAATCTTCTCTTTGACAAAGTGACAGTCTATCTCAATATTTGGTCCTCTCATGGAAGACTGGATTTGAAGCAATGTGCAATGCAGCTTGATTATCACATACAAGTGTCATTGGTCTTGCTTCTTCAATTTTAAATTCTTTAAGCAACTATTTTAACCAAATGAGTTCATATGTTGCCATTGCCATGACCCTATACTCTGCCTCGGCGTTTGATCTTGCAACTACATTTTGTTTCTTACTTTTCCAGGATATAAGGTTCCTCCAACAAGTACACAATACCCAAAGGTGGATCGTTTATCAATTAGTGACCTTGCCCAATCAACATCAGAGTATCCAACTATCTGAGTATGTCCTTTATCTTCATACACTTAACTTTTTTCTGGAGCACATTTGATGTATCTTAGAATCCGGATAACAACATCCATGTGTTCCTGACAAGGGGAATTTAAGAACTGACTTACCACACTGACTGCAAAAGAAATGTCTGGACGAATGACTGTGAGATAATTCAACTTTCCAACCAATCTCCTATACCTTCCTGAGTTTGATAGAGGCCCCCCTGATTGGATAGTAGTTTGACACTTGGATCCATAGGAGTATCAACTGGTTTAGCGTTCAACAAACCTGTTTCTTTCAAAATATCCATAGCATATTTCCGTTGAGAAATCACCAAACCATCTTTAGATTGGGCTACCTCAATACCCAAGAAAAACCAGAGTTTATCAAGATCCTTTGTCTGAAATTGATTCGAAAGATGTTGTTTCAACTGGAGTATTTCCGACTCATCACTACCAGTTATGACAATATGATCTACATATACAATAAGGTAAATACACCCTTGAGCTGAGTGACGATAAAAGACAAAATTGTCAGTTTCAGTACGGACCATACCAAATTGTTGTACTACAATGTTGAATCTGTCAAACCAATCTCTTGGAGATTGCTTAAGACCATAAAGAGACATGTGTAGCCTACAAACCATATTCGATGACTCCCCCTGAGCAACAAACCCAGGTGGTTGCTCCATATATACTTCCTCTTCAAGATCACCATGTAAAAATGCATTTTTGATGTCAAGTTGATGAAAAGGCCAATGTCGAATGGCTGCAATGGCTAGAAGAAGTCTAACAGATGCCATCTTGGCTACAAGCGAGAAGGTATCACTATAATCCAATCCAAAAATTTGAGTGTATCCCTTGGCTACCAAGCGAGCTTTAAAACGATCAATCTTACCATCTGGACCAACCTTCACCGTATAAAGTCAACGACAACCTACTATAGATTTTTTAGTGGGTAGAGAAACCAGTTCCCAGGTACCACTGCTTTGAAGAGCACACATTTCATCAATCATTGCTTGCCTCCACTCAGGGTGAGATAATGCTTCACCTGGAGATTTAGGAATAGAAACAGGAGACAAAGAGGACAAACAAGTATACTGCAAATGGGAAAGACGATGATAACATAAACCAATATAATGTGGAGAAAGATTTCGTGTTTGACATATACCTTTGCGAAGGTCAATCAGAAGATCAGACTCAGGTTGCAGGATTGAATTCGGTGATGGCGATAGCGTCGGAGGAGAGTGTGCAATGACCTCAGGGACAGGTACTGTAACACCCCATTTCTACCCAATGAATTATATAAAATCAGAGTTACAAAATTTCCAATAAACAAATGGAATGCTACACTTTCAACTTCTAAACAACGACATTCAATCACATATAGTTCAGATACATAACACATAAAATTCGGATGAACCGATAACAACCTGTTTAGTCTTTAAAAATAAAACAACTTTCGTTGCTACGCATCAGATTCACAAATTCAACTGAAAACACCATGACATCTTGTCCAACTCAAAACGGCTTTAAGACAACAAGTCTTTAATGAAAACAACTTAAAAATTCAGCAACATAATGAAAACCAACAATAAAGAAAACATGTGTTCATCCTCCCGATGTATTAGAGCGATAACACTGACTCGAACTAACGAAGATAACAATTATCCTTCTTGATTACCTGCACGTTACCAATAGATGACAACATTCAAACAGAAGGGGTGAGATATCGAACCATATAATTGAGTGTATGATAAACAATTTATTAGATCAAATTGTATAAAATCACCACTTCCCAACTTTTAACCAACATCAATTATCATAAGCCAACAACACAACATGTTAAATATGCAACACGGAATGCGACTCGTTACAATGCACATGCATGTGGTACCAATGGAGCAAAACTCCCAACTTAGAAATCTGTCAATTAATAGAGGCATCAACAAGGCATAAACCTTCAACTTAATTTGCCAATATAGGCCAACTTACCGAGCATCAGCTCCAACTTGATATGCTAGGTATGCGACTCAATATGAATGTCAGGATAACAACAACAAAATTCTATAGCAACACAACAACAAACCAACATTGGCCATAAGCCCACAACTTAATATTTTACCCATAAATAGAGGCAATTCAACAAGATACAATATCACCTGCAAATTCGCATTGTTCAACAAGGAACACGATATCACAAATCAACCAAAATTTACTACAACCAAACCGTGTAATTATTCGGACTATTACGACTATTTCCGGTTAATTAATTATCGGCTAAAAATTCTACTATTTCTACTTACAAAACTTCTACAATATTATTATACTGATAATGTTAAATTATTATTAATATTACTATTATACTAATGGTATATTATATACCAGTAACTTGAAAACACTTGCAACTAGTTTCTCAATTTACTTAGAATATCGCTTAATAAACCTGCTATTTTAAAAATAATGAACTAAGGAGAATCTGTTTAATTATTAATAAGTCTACCACCAATTCATGCTACTTATCTTAATTTATTCTAGTAGCATACTACTACAATTGATTAAACAAATTTCTATACTGATAATAAATCATAATTTAGCAAAGATGTATTATTATTTGGAAACTCCAACTTATCCTACTGACAACTCTAAACATGTCAGAATTACGCAAAACAAATAAAAGTGACTTTTAATGATACGAAACAATTCTATTGATAACTTTAAAATACTATTGACAACTCTAACAACCTTATTGGTAACTCAATTGATAACTCTATTGATAGTTCTAACAACTCTATTAGAATAGAAATTAACCCAAGTTAACTATTTATCCAAATACTTATCTCTAATTCACAACTTCTACAAAATTATATAGTTAAAATACTAAAATATTATATATATACACTTGAATTCAAAGTTAAGAAAGAAAACTGTTACAATATCATACTAGGTGAATTCAGTGTAACGCTTACGCTTATGCTAAGTATACATACATATAATTCTCCTAACTCATATATATATATATATATATAGTCCTTATTTTGTTCCATTACAGTATGTCAAACATATAGGCACTATCGTTGTCGCTACAGGATATCACCATGAAATTCTCAATTTAATTTCTAAGTGTACTACAGTGTCTATATATTAAATTTGGTTCTCAATCATCTCTCAATTTCAACAATATATCAATTTCAAACACAAACAGAAACAATTTTACAATCCAATCCCACATACCATTCATCACATACTCTATTATAGAGTCATAACCCCACCCTTACCTTGAATTAAAAGTTGCTCTAACTCTCCGATTGCACCTAACTTTGCCTCCTCTTTGCACTTTTACGCATCTCTTCCAAAACCCTTATTTCCTCTTTCTGCTAAAAACCTACCTTTCTCCTCTTATTGATACTTCTACTTATTGTTTATAAAATAACTAAAATAATAATATTATCATTCTATTATTCTTATTTTGTCTTATTGGGCTTAAATTCTTACACCTCCCTTTCTACTACTTATAACATTAAAATAGGCTCACATAAATAATAATAGTATTATTCAATATTAATCCTACAACTTAATCAACTAATTAATTCAACTAAAAACGACACAACTTCGAAAATTTAATCGGAAAAAATATTTAATTAAATAATTAATTAAATATTGGGCGTTACAGGTACGACCTCAGGGACATATACAACCTCAGGGACAAGTATGACAGACGTTGGTTTACGATGCTGATATGTTTGAAGTGGGCCAGAAGTCAACCGTAGGGGTTTCTCGTGGGACAGGTTCCCTAGAATGATGGACCCTAAACATTGGAGTGAACTAAAGCAATAGGGGACGCAGTCCGTTTATTGACTCGATCGGGAAAGTGACTACGAGTATGTTTTCTTAATTGACAAGACTCACACTGTAAAGTGGATAATTTAGATAAATTGGGCACCAACTTTTGTAGCTTGGGAAGATTTGGATGACCTAACTGCGCATGTATAATGAGTGGAGAATCTGTGGTGGAGCATGTGGAAGATGACGTAGAGAAGTAGTAGAGGCCTTGAGACTCACATCCGACGCCAATCGTCTGTCCCGATTCCCGAACTTCAATCCTGCAGAATCACATCACTGTTAGTAAAAGTGATAGAACTAAGGGAACGGGTTAAACGATTGACTGACAGTAGATTAAATGTCCAATTAGGTACATATAGGACAAAAGTAACAAAGAGAGATGATAGAATTTGAACAACACCGATCCCTTGGGATTGAGTTTGAGAACCATTTGCGACAGTTATACTCGGTAAGAAACCAAAGGTAGAAAGGAAAGAGAAATTTTTTTTATTACCGGTAACATGATCAGGCGCACTAGAGTCGAAGACCCAAGGACCAAGAGATGATTGAGAGACGCAAACAGATGAATTACCATTATGTGCAATCGAAGCCGTGGAACCGGAGGTCTGGTTACTCTGACACCACCTGAGAAAATCCTTGTAGCTTGGCGTAGGGTTCTGAAGAGAAGCTGAAGTCTGCATAGTGTTTGGGTTATCAATTTGAGCTGCATTTACTTGCCGTGGAGGTTTGCTATGCAACTTCCAGCAACGATCGATAGTATGTCCAAGCCGGTTACAATGGTCACACTTAGGACGAGGTTTGGAGTTGGACGACCCTCCTTGAAGGCGATTCTGATTGTTGCAAAGAGATGCAAGAGCAGCAGTGTCACCTGGTGTTGGAATAACAATAGATGGAGGAAAAACTGGGCCAAACGCATGAGGTGTAGCCAAGTGCAACAATTATTCACTGTATCATAGTTAGGAACAGTAGTACCAGATAAAATCTGGTTACGGACGAATTTGAGTTCTGATGGTAGTTCTTTAAGTGCCATGACTATGAAATATTTACTCTGTTGTTCGGCATGAGCTATTGCATCTTTTGCGTAAGGCACGAGGGTTGCGTAACTTGCTTTCAAGGCATCAAGCTTACTCAGATAAGCTTGCACATCCATATTTTCCAACTTCAGTGTGTTGAGTTTGTGGATGACACTGTATAGAGAATGAACGTCGTTCGAAAAGACTTTCTTGACCTTTTGTCACACCTCATAACAAGTGGAGAATGCTTGGTATTGCGCTTCTCGACAGCACGAGCCCATATGTTATAGTTAGCTGATCCGGTTAGTTTTTCACATGGGATAAGCGAAACTTTAGTAAACGAGACAGAATCAGCATCTCCCATGGCTTAAAACACAACAACTGGGGCTGTTTGAATAAGAGTATGACCTTCTGTGAGTTGAAAACGGAAACCGAGGGCGGATCTGGAACCGGAGGAGGAATGCGATTTTTCGATAAATTTTTTTTTCGTGAACAGTAGCGGCGACGATGAACGGTGGCGGCGGTGGTGAACAGTGGCGGCGGCGGTGAACAACCTCCCGAATTTTTTTTTTCCGTGGGCAGTGTGGCGGCGGAGGGCGCTGGAAATTTTTTAAAAAAAAAGGTGAAACAAACCGGAATGATGACACGGTTTGCAGAAGAAAATTTCTCACCAGAAGACAGTGGATCAACCGGGTAAAGCACGACGAAGAATTGCCTCTTAGAAGGCTCTGATACCATATTGAATTAGGAGAGACTAAGAGACATTTAGGTTAAACCGTGTGTTTTGAAAGTATTACGGAGACTTTATTATATATATAGAGAGATTACAACTAATTACACGATATAATCGATATAAGACTATTCTATATACAAATATTTAACACTATATATTACAAATATCAATAATGACTATTGTCTGTGATCCATTTTCCATTGTAGTTTTACACATATGAAAGCCTGAAGCAAGTGATGCCTTCTTCTAGTATTCAATCCCACACATTTCAGACTGTGAGTTGGTGCTTTTTTTTGCTGTTTTTAAACTACCATTTTTTCTCTCACCGCAGTGAATGTAAAATCAGACGATTTAATCAATTTATGTAGTTAGTGTGTGGAGGATTAGCCGGATCTACTGCTGCTTTATTCACAACTCCATTTGATGTCATCAAGACAAGATTACAGACACAGGTCTGTGTTTAACAAATCCTTCAATTATATAATTTTCTTACCGCTAGTGAATAGCGAGGAAGCAAACAGTAACACAGTTTCTGAGACTTCTTATAAAAGTATGATGTTTGATATCCTATTATCTTGTTATCCTTAGTTGTTTTTTAATTTGAATGATTGTTATTTTCAAATTATATTTAAAAAATAATTATAGCACATTATTTTTTTGTTGAGTTATATTTTTCTATTCTTTAAGCTTCTGATGAAAGTGAGTGCACTGCAGATTCCGGGATCAAGAAATCAATATGGTAGCGTGTTTCGTGCCCTTTACAAAATTAGCAATACAGAAGGTTTGAATGGCTTATACAGGTATTATTTTCTGAGTCTAACCATTATCATTTAGATCAGAAGAAAATATTTCATAACAAAAACAACAGTCACACTATAAATAATGTCCTAGAGAGTTTGGTTCAGATACAATTTGCCGGTGACATTTGTTTATGGATGTAACTTACATATGTCTTCAGGGGGTTGACACCGAGGTTGATTATGTACATGTCTCAAGGATCATTGTTCTTTACTTCGTATGAATTTTTCAAAAGTGTATTTTCTCTGGAATCACCACTTCCCACTGGTTTATAAATTCATCACTACAACAAGAATGCCAGCAGCGGCATCGCCACCAAGTCTCGATAGCTTGTATTATTTGATTAGATAGTGCTCGGGAGAAAAGTTTATCGGTGCTGCAAGCTGCAAGCATGTTCATAAACTGTATATTTGATGTTGTATATCAAGAACATATAACAACGCAGGGGCAAAAGATATGTAGCAATCAAACATTGGAGAAATCATGCTTCCTTAAGTTGACAATGATGTATTTGCATTGCAAGTCCTCTCTCTGTATCTGTATGTAACAAAATTTTGTTATTCTTCTAAAGAAATTTGAATTTCTTTTGAGGAATTTATGTATTGTTGTATACCATATTAAAATTTTACAATTGCCATCATGTTACCCATCTATTTTATCTGAATAATATTTAATTCTAGGATTTCATATTTTCAATTAAGTTACACAATTATTTGATGTGTCTATGGTATGAGAATTTTTAATTGCTTGTTCTTAGATTTTTGTTTTGCAAATTATTAAAACTTTTAGTTTATTATTTTATTTAAATTAATAATTTGTAGTTTGGTTGGTAAATTAATTTATGGTTAATATTGATCATAAATAAGAATGAGTAACAATATATTATATTCAAGTTTGACTATTTCTTTAGACTCATTTTTTTATATGAAGTGCACGTTTCCCATTCTCTCAACTTCTCCTTTCTAAACTCCCACATACTTCACTTACAATTTTTCAGAGAACCATATATTCTACCATAAAACTTTTCTGCTTGTTTTTACTCTCATTGGAGAAAGGACCAAACTTGTATTACAATTAGAATGTAGCAGCAATTTCGTTAGTGTTTGATTTGTGTGTACCAATTTGAATATTTGCCTACATGAATGAATTTTGATTGTTATACTGTGAGACACCTTTCAATATGGTGCTACCATGAGTTAAACATATGGGATATACCTATTATTGTTGTGTGATTATTGTTTTTAAACATATGTGATTATTGTTAAATATATATGGTGTATAATAGTCATGATCATCATATATATGAGGTAGTGGGAATTGATGATGGCCAGTATATTATGTATGTATTTTTGTGCTAAGGCTGAGAAGGAAAACCTAAGTATTTAGTATGAGAATTGTTTATATTTATTATGTTTTAGTAAACAAATAAAAAGGATAATTCGCCTAGAGTAATGTGGTGTGCTCCATAAATTCCTAAATTGATTAAATAAATTGTGTTCTTGAATTTAAGCAAAAAATGAATAAGTATGTTTTTTTTTTTGTGGTTGTCTTCGTGATGGGTGATATTGTTATCGGATTGTCTAAGTGGTGGAATTTGCATTGTATCATTATGACATGTTATATGCATTTTTGTGTAGTATTTTGTGACGGATTATTTTTCATATTGATATGAGATGAATTCTGAGTGGTGCTTTCATGAGGGGCTGATTATATCTGAATCATGTAGTATTAAGAACATGTCATATTTTTGCATGTAAATTGTATAATTGATTCTGGATGATTATGATTACTCTTATGTGTATTTTGTTTTAAGTTTATAGTTCTGTTGTTAATAATCTTGGTGATCACTTTTATTTAATTCTCTTGAATATGAGATGATATATGGTATTTTTTAAATTTTACTCTAGTTTGGTTTAGTCTGACATGAGGAACTGACCCTTACAATAACATTTTAAGTATCAATATGGAAATCTCAAAGTAATTGACTTTTGCTTGATGTGTGTTCACGGAGAAGAATGATTTTTAAAAAATAACAGTATTATGTAGGAATAAATCGACTGCGTTATACTTTAAAAATATTTATTTAATATTTTCCGCTTAAACAAGTATTTCAATAATATCTAAATTATGTCTTGGATGAAAATTCAAGACATTACATCATCTAAGAAATATTTATTTATTTTAAAATAAAAATAGTTTATTATTCAACCAATATTAATCAAATTTATCGGTATGCTTAATAAACTATCAAAAATCACTGTAAAAAAAATGTCGACAATCATTATATTTTGTTATCATAATATAGTATGTGTTGTAATTACTAGTAATTTTTTTTATACATAGAAGTGTAATGAGTTTTACTAAATATCCAAACATAAATTACTACTAAAACTGAAAATAATAATAGTAAAATATAAAGACAAAAAGATTTAGTCTCTTAATTATATATATTTTTTTAGATTTAAATTGATTTTTTAATTTTTTCATGTCATTTTAGTCCTTTAATTTTTTAATAGATGCATATGAGTTCATTCCATCCGTTTTTTCTCAAATGTTTGTTTATGTAAGCTATGTGATAGTTGAGTTGACAATGGTACATCATCTTTCTTATTATCAATTTGCTTCTTCGTTTTTCACTATGTATCCGTTTTCTGCAACTCAAATCAAATTAAGGTAATATTGCTTCATTGTTTTCATCGTTTTTTTCTTCCTTTTATTCGAAGCATGAAGTTCGGCCAATGTTCATCGTTTCTGAAGCAGAAAAACTTGAAAATTGTGAATCTAGTGTATACACAAGCTCGCCATGTGTACCAAAATGTCATTGCGGATACAAAGCCGTGATTCGTAGGGCAACAATTGTTAAGAATTTTGGAAATTTTTTTTGGGGTTGTCAAAATTTTAATGTAAGTCCTAAGTACTGTTTGATTGATGTCCAAATGTGAGAACCCTGTTTTGATACATATATGAAACTTGTAGCAATCCTTGCAAATAGGGCGTGGTTATTTCAATTGGTTCCATGAGAATTTGGGAGATGAGAAGGGGCAATTTATGATGAATAGGTTGGAAAGCAGAGCAAAGAAAATTGATGATGCAAAAAAGGAGTTTGAAAAAGTCAGGGTGACAAATGAAAAATTAAGAAAAGTTGCGTTGGAACTTAAAACTCAAGTGAACAAGATCTTGAAGTGGAAAAAACATGGAATATTATGTTTCTTGTAATCTTATGTGCATTGTTTTTTAGGATGTTTTAGGAGTATGTACCAATTTGTATGTATCAGTTTGTATGGATGAGTTAGTATGTATCATTTTGTATCAGTTAGCAATCTCAATTTGTATCACTGTATTGTTATGGATGAGTTGGTATGTATCACATTGTATCAGTTTAATATGAGTTGGTTTGTTTGATAGAATATTATTTGTACATGTCCATTTACATATCAGTTTTACATATCAGCCCATTTACAATGTTAAAATGTTGTTTACTTAACTAGTTTACAATATAAGTTCTAATAGCATGAGTTGATATATAACTAAGTTGCATAACACGCTATAAAATTTCAAAATAATTTGCATAACACATAACCGAGTTGATAATAAATTGACATGTTCATAAGACATAAGATGATCTCAAAATGGTTCCAAAATAACATTGATATATTACATAAATATGTTCAAGATACATTGCATAATATCAAAATGATTCAAAGTGGTTCATATTACAACCATAGTGCTTTAAAATACATGCTAAAACAATTAACTAGACAATGGCTAAATAATACTAGATGTTCTTCTTTGGTGTGATTCTCTTGGTTGGAGTAGACCTCATGGTTGTTGAGCCAACTAGATTCTTGGATGCAGTCAATCTTGTTGTTGGTCATGGGGGGGGGGGGGGGGGGGGGGGGGGGGGGGGACAAATGGTTTTATTACACCTAGCTTTTGCGTCTTGCCATTTCCTTGAGTTACTTGAGTTGCACTGCCTTTAGTAGCTGGCCTTTTCCCTTGAGTTGATTGAGTTGCCTTTCCTTGAGATGATAGAGTTGGTTGAGTTGCTAGCATTTTCTTTTGAGTTGTTTGAGTTGCATTTCCTTGAGATGACTGAGTAGCATTCATATATCCTTGAGTTGCATGATATTTTTTAGTAGCATTCCTACTTCCCTGAGTTACATTGTCCTGAGATTGCTGAGTAGCATTGCCATGAGATTGTTGAGTTGTATTTCTTGAGATTGTTGAGTAACATTTCCATGAGTTTCCTGTTGTGAAGCTTGAGTTGTTGGTGTAACCTTACAAGTTAATTCGTTATGTGCTTCTTTTTTGCACCCACTGCACTTGACTACGAAACACGTTCTTCTCATTTTTCTGTCAGTCTCATCAATCTCCCCTTGTTCAAGATTTCTCCTCTTCTTTGGTCTATCATACATCTTTCTATACTTAGGTGGCTGCACATTCGGATATGGTGTCTTAACCCAAATATTTGATCCGTTCACAAGGTAAAGCACATGTTTGTAGACTGCCATGTACCTAGATTTCATATAACAGCCAGTGATATAATCATCAATCTTAAAGTTCCTACTCTTCATTGCTGACAATACATGAACACATGTAACTCCTGTGAGATCCCATCTTCTGCAAGAGCATATGCAGTCATTCAAATTTACAATAAATATTTATGTTGGGTTTTCTACATGCCTTAATTTAAACACGTGTTCATCAGACATCTCACAACATGTATAATATATCAGTACTAACCCTAATAATCATTGTTATAAGTACAACTAATAACCAATTGAATCAATGTTTCATACATGGCCAACCATAAGTTGGTGAATGTATTGGTTCTGTCAATCTTCCTTCTAATGTTAGGAAAAATCTCATTATCATAGACATTTTGAAACCTCATTCTATTGTTTTCCCATATCTCCATAATGTAGGTTATGATCTCTTCCAACATAGGGACTAATGGTTTAGCCCTTGAGTCGAGAATAACACTATTAAAAGACTCTAACATGTTGCTGAGAACAACATCACACTTGTTATTTGTCCTAAAATATTATCTACTCTAATATCTTGGTGGGGTTTTCATCATATGGAGATATGTATCTTCACTGATCAATCTTAGTCCCCTCATCTCTCTTTCCCAAGCTTGTGAGTATGTTGATTTTACAGTTTCCATATAATTTCCTTCAACATCTTTCCACGATACCTATTCCTGAAATTGTTATACAAATGCCTCACACATAATTTTTATTTAACATTAGTAAAAATGACATCCATTGCATGT